TGCAGCTGTCTGAGAACAAATCCCATGTCTGTGGTACTCCTGTTGGCTCTGAAACCACATTGGCTTTCAGGCAGAAGTTCTTCTGAGATAGCTGATACTAGTCTGTTCACAAGTATTCTTGCAAGGATTTTACCAGCAATAGAGAGCAAAGTAATACCTCGCTAATTTGAATAGTCTGATTTTTCTTCTGGGTGTCATAGGGCATAGGTAAGTAAAGTTTGCAGAGAGCATTTTGGCACCCAGGTGACATTTCACTTCATGTGTGATTTAGCCCGTCTTCAGCTTTCCAGGCCCACAGTTGCATGCAGAGGCCTGTTCCAGCACTGTTGCAGTTGTATAGTCAAGTGCTGGATGCTACAGCTCAGGGTGAGCTGATGATGCAGAGACTTTCAGGATTTGACTCTAATATACCCTGGTTCCAGGGCAAGTAAAGAACCTCAGCACCTCCACAGGCTTGTCCTGTACATGCTTCTTTGTCTTCAGAGGTCTTTTTCTCCTCAAGCATTTCTGAATGTTTTCTTAGGGTAAAGCAGTGAGTAGATACAAATCATGCTCAGAATTAAGTATTTTTCTCTCAGGGTGCTAGAATGGGAAATGAACATTAGCAAGCAGATGGAGGAGGAGTGCCACAGCATGGTATACAGAGAGAGATGAGGAGCTTGGACTGCAGTATTTAAGATACATTAAAGAGTTTCTGGTTTCTTGTAGTCACTGAACCTTCACGTAGTCTTTTAAGACTGGCAACTAGATGATCTTTCGAGGTCCCTTCCAAACCTAACATTCTGTGATTCTATGTGAGTCTGCGAAGGTTAACTGTAGTTTCCTGGCCAACTTCAAGCTATTCTAGCTATATTTCACTGACCCAAATTCTCCATGCTCTTTCATTTAGATACAGTGTTTTCCAGCTCCTGCCCCAAATTGTTGAACGTTTTCTATTTTCTATTCCAGAAGTGTCTGCATTTCAGGAGCTGGTAAAATGATTAGTACATACGTATACATATATAAGCATATTGAAAAATTCTAAAACATCTTTCCATGAAAAAGCTGGTAAACAAGGTTTTTCAAAAGCAAGTAGAGATGTTGAATACTGAAGTGCAAGTGCCCTAGGACCAACTGATTTTCAAAAAACATTGAGATTGAAAACTGGGCAGTTAAAAGCCATATTGCTCTACTGCTTTTTTAATGTCTTGCATATGCAGCAGGAAGAGGGCTTCTGGAAATTAATTTCTCCCTGTCATTCAAGGTGAAATTAAATGCAGAGCACTGTGTGATTCCATGACTTATTTTTTTTTACTACTTTTTGTCACATTAAGATAATGAAAAGCCCATGAAAGTGATAGAGGATGAAGACCTTGTGGACCAGCAGCTCATCAGTGAATTGAGGAAAGAGTATGGGATGACCTACAATGACTTCTTCATGGTGCTGACAGACACTGACATGAAGGTCAAGGTGAGGGTTTCAACTACGTGAAAGAAGAGGCACAGGAAAAATATGAAAAACTTGAAACTATTTAGGAAGTTACACTACAGGCTTGCATGTGAAGCACATAAGAGACTGGTGCAGGACCTTTGTCATTGCTAGAGGACAAGAAAAGGGACAGTAAGAGAAATTTTCAGGAATTAGGTAGCTACATTGTCTGCAGTTAGGAGATTTCAGGAACTATGGGTTTCTGCTGGGATGATGAGCTGACACTAAAGAAACAGGACTAGTTGAATGGCCTTGCAAAAAAAAAAGAATAGAATGACAATTTGTTGCCTGCAATGGTCTGGCCTTATCATGTTGGGCAAATAGTGAAAATAGAGCACTTCTAAAAAGCAGTCTGCCTGCAAAGCCAGTAATATTTTCCATGGTTTCTAATCTGGTTTAGGCCTTCTTACCTGTGTGTAAATAGGAATACTCGAATCTCTATATATCCTACAGTGCTGTGATACATGCAGAGACTGCTAATATGTGCATTCTTTCATCCATCTGTTCTTTTTTAACAGCAATACTATGAAGTACCTATAGCAATGAAGTCTGTGTTTGATTTGATCGACACTTTCCAGTCACGAATTAAAGACATGGAAAGACAGAAAAAAGAGGGCATTGTCTGCAAAGAAGATAAGAAGCAATCCCTTGAGAGCTTCTTATCCAGGTATTACCTTCTGTCCTTATCTGCTGCTAATTCTAATAATTATTGTCTTATTGAAAAAACATCTATCCAGCTATTTCTGTTATCTTTTTAACAGAGATTTATCAGTATTGGCAGTGATAGGCAAATAGAAAGATGTAGCCAAAGCTGAATGCAGCCTTGCACACAGCACTCTTAAGTCAAGATGTTGTGTTTCCTGACTGACTGCACATTCTTTGGACATGAACTTTCTGTACTACAGTTCCCCCATCATGATATGGAGATAATAAAAATTATTTGCATTAGAAGAGCAGCTAAGGATTATGTCACAGATGTTAGCTCATTGTTTTGAATGTATGAAGCACAGTGTTTTATGTGTTTCAATCATCAACCATCAGTCTCATTAATTCCCTTTTAATCCGTGTCATGTAGCTTGAATCAGTAATTAATTCTCTGTAACTTCCTTCTTACCCTGCTTGAGATAATAGTTGGTCTTAGCCAGTATTAGTCATGCATATTACTAAAGAAAGGTCTTGCAGATGTCTCTTGCAAATAGTTTGAGGCCTTCTGCAGAAAGACAGTTTTGTTTCTGCAATCTATATATGCCGTGTTACTGCTCTGAGACCTGAATTCCAAGCAATAAACATGTCTGAACTGTGGGAACTTATGTCCACAGAAGAGCTGTGCAACTATAGCTCTCTCTGTGACTGGATAAGTTACATGAAATTAGGGCCACCCCATCACGCTAGGCTTTACCTGTTACTACTGCATCCTCCTCACCTGCTATCAAAATCCATGGGAATACACTGCTAACACCAGGTGGCTATAAAAATAACTCAGGAGGCATGATGGATTATGATTAGAGGAGGAAGGGAGCAACAGGTAAATGACTAAGTTGGTTCATAAACATTTTAAATTCAATGGCCACTTCAACAGAAAGAGAACCTTTAACAAGATTCACCCCACCCACTGCACCACCTCCTGTTTAGGTCTCTGATTCATCCTCAGGACCACCAAGAAGAACCACAGTTTGGAAACAGCTGTCCAACACAAGAGCGAGCTTGTATGCAGAAAGTGACTGGCCCCAAATCCTTCTTTGCTTGGAAACAGCCCTAGTAACAAAAACACATTAGAAAAACAGGCAGAAAAAATGCAGAATGTTGCATATGTAAACAGAACGGCTGCTGCACAGAATGCATTTGTTGTCTGTGAAACAAGCATCAGGCTTTAAATGTTGGGTGGACTTCATCAGCCACATTAACTGGTCTGATTCCCAGCAAGATTCCTTCCAGTTTTGTCCAAGATTATCTTCCCAGTTGGACAAGAGTCCTGGCATCATCTCCCTGGTGCTGGTCATTGGGGAGGTCAGTTATAATAATGCAAATACTGTTCTTAACAAGCCTGGCCAGCATGAAAGGAGACCATGGGAGCCAGAGCTGGCTTGAGTAATGCTTAAAAGCCACATGTATTAGGAGATCCTTGAGTTTGTGGGGGGAAGTCCCCCTATAATACCAAGACACTGTCTGTGCTGCTCTCTGGGCTCATGAACAAGAATGGGATGAGAAATAGGTAGAAAAGGAAGAAAGGATGCACACAGGAAAGGGTCTGGCAGATCTGTCTACACAGGCGCATTGGCCTGTGGCTTCTGATGTCAGAAATAAAGCATAAATCTGTACAATAATGTTGGTGAACTAACAGCTGTGAAGGACCAACTGAATTAATTTCTCAGTAAAACGTAGGCCCTGACAAGCACACCAAGCATAGGGATTGCCTGGGACAGGAGGATGAACAACTTGAGTGGCTTTCAACCCTTTTCAGCTCTGTGCACCTCCAGAGGAGATGCTCAAAAAAGTGGAAAGGAATTAAGAGTATTCACAGATAAGATTCAATCCTGGTTTATGCCTTGGACAAAATATGATCCAACGTTTACATTCTCAGTCACTGTTTACAGGTAGCCAGGAGCTTTTGCTATACAAAGTATCACAAAGATTACTTTTTTTCCTTATTTTCAGAATAACACCATGAAATACCCCCCTTCCCCTCACCTCACATATGTGATTCTTAATGCTTCTCATTCCTATTCGCACAACTGTATACACACGCCCATGTCTCTTTGCTGCTCCTCCTGGGCAAAATTAAAACTGGGGAGATTTGCTTTGCAGGGATTTACTCGTTTAATTATAAAAATTAGATGCAGCATCAGTCAGTCAAAAAGGCAAAGTCGTCAGCATCCTCTGCTCTTTCAGCAACTTCTGTGACTTTGAGCAAATCCCAACACATCTTCTACTTCTCTCAAGTGGAACAGAATTGGCCCATCGCATTAGCCTTTTTTTGAGATCTTCACAGGGTGCTGCAGAAAGGCCGGCTATTATTATACCAGAGTAACATCTGCATCCATTTAAAAGATCATTTCCTGCTACAAAAATATCCCTGCAGCTTTGCAAATTCCTATAAATTTGATTTATTTAGGTTTAGTGAAGAAGTACCTTAATTCAAAAGAGGGATTGTTTGGAGAGTATTAAAAACCCTTACAGTTAGAACTTTTGAAGGTTTCAGGTGTCCTTATGGCATTGCTTTTCCTCAAGAGGGCAACGGAAGGTGCTCCCTGTGCAAAAAGTTTGGTTAGATATGACATCCCTTATTAAAGAAATATCTAAGATTTACCTTATTGCCTCATGCCTTATATATCCACAGACTTGCACAACCACATACTTAAAAACAAGCTCAGATTTAAAGGCATGTCAAAGGTATTTTGAGCAAGTGTGGTATAGAAGAAAAAGAGGTCAGTGAGTATTTACACAAAAGTATGAGTTATGTCTGAAATGAAGATACACCCTAATTCTCAGACAGCCCTTGGACTGCAAAATAACTGTGCAGTTCCAACAGTGGTGAGTGACGTAAAAGCTAAATGTCTAGTAAGGAATTCTACAGGACTCTGTCTTTCTCTTGAATATACACTTCTCAGCATTGTTGTAACTACTGAAGAGGGCTTTGAGTAAAGATCGTAAGCTTTGCAGTGTTTGTTTGGTGAAGCAGCAAAGCTGCAGATGTTTTCTGTAGAATTTTGGAGCTGTAAAATTCAAAACAGGCTTTATCCTCTCCCAGCAATGCAATAGATAGAACTGGGAAGATCTCCCATCCAGCTGTTACTTAGAAGTTGAGAGAGGTCAGACATATCTCAGCCTACAGAGAAGAAAAAAGCTGGAAGGACTGAAGCAACATGCCATGACCATCTCCTGTGGCACGCTCTTCTCTTTCCAGGTTTCGATGGAGAAGGAGGCTGGTGGTGATCTCTGCTCCCAGTGATGAAGACTGGGCTTATTCCCAGCAGCTTGCTGCTCTCAGTGGACAAGCCTGCAATTTTGGTGAGTCAAAAGAAATTAGACTCCCCAAAACCACATCCTTCCTGCTGATGTGATGGATTCTTTGGCTTAAATCTGAACCTAGACAGTCTGAGGAGTCTGACAAGTGAGAAGTTTGCATACCTACACCAAATCCAAATGGAAAACATTGTGCTAAGCAGGTAGTATAGCACACTCTGACAGCTAAACAAAGTGTTCCCTGGAATCATTTGTGTGAGGCAGGTTAGCAATCCAAAGTTTCTTTTCATGCTTGTACTTCAGGGGATCAATAGTATTTTATTCTTCTTACTGCATAAATTAATGACATAAGTACATTGCTTTAGGAAAGGTAGATTTCTTAATACTTAGCTCAGAACTGGGCCAGATGCATGGACATAAGGGCTTTTTCTTTTCTTCCCTGCTTCATTGAGAACACCTGTAAAAATATTAATGGAAGCCCCTTTAATCCAGTAAGGACCTTCCCAGCCCTAACTAGCTACTTATGATCCAGTGGAGAAAGATGGGCTCCTCCAGGAGGCAATTAAGAGCAAGACCTGAAAACACTCTTCTTGTCTTTCTGTTGAGAAGCTCGAGAAACTTACTCAACTTAGGTTGCTAGCAATGCAAATACCATAGAGTGCCTAGACTTGACTCCTACAACAGGATGAAACAGGTCCCATTCAAAAGCCCCTACTTCAGTACATTTCAGTTATGCCCAAAGGGAGAACTGCACAGTATCACTGTTTATTCCCAATCACATGTGTTTTTATTCAAAGCGTCAGTATCATTCCGTAACTACCAAAGTAAACTGTGACATGGGCCACTGTAAAATGCTTACTGAAGAACAGACTGTAAGGAAAAGAGTTCTCCCCACCCTTTCGTAGTGACGATTTAAAGAAGAACCAATGAGTTCCCAAAGCATTTGTCCTCAATGGGTATTTTAACTGCTATGTTTCCAAACATCTTACCTCCAAGTTGTAAAAAGTTACATCAAAGATTTTGTAGATTGTAGACTCAGTTACATGAACAGTTTCTACAGCTCCTAAAGTCTTTCTTCAAAGCAGAGGCAAAAGCCCAAGCCTCTGCCTAGAATCACAGAATGTCAGGGGTTGGGAGGG